TTTCCTTCCAAAATGGTCCTGTATTTGGCTCCATCCATCGTCCCATCAATTTTAACCATCTTCCCGGTCCCTGCTGAAGAAAAGCAGGCCCAAACCATGATGCTGCCACCACCATGTTTGACAGTGGGGATGGTGTGTTCAGGGTGATGAGCTGTGTTGCTTTTACGCCAAACATAACGTTTTGCATTGTTGCCAAAAAGTTCGATTTTGGTTTCATCTGACCAGAGCACCTTCTTCCACATGTTTGGTGTGTCTCCCAGGTGGCTTGTGGCAAACTTTAAACGACACTTTTTATGGATATCTTTAAGAAATGGCTTTCTTCTTGCCACTCTTCCATAAAGGCCAGATTTGTGCAGTATACGACTGATTGTTGTCCTATGGACAGAGTCTCCCACCTCAGCTGTAGATCTCTGCAGTTCATCCAGAGTGATCATGGGCCTCTTGGCTGCATCTCTGATCAGTCTTCTCCTTGTATGAGCTGAAAGTTTAGAGGGACGGCCAGGTCTTGGTAGATTTGCAGTGGTCTGATACTCCTTCCATTTCAATATTATCGCTTGCACAGTGCTCCTTGGGATGTTTAAAGCTTGGGAAATCTTTTTGTATCCAAATCCGGCTTTAAACTTCTCCACAACAGTATCTCGGACCTGCCTGGTGTGTTCCTTGTTCTTCATGATGCTCTCTGCGCTTTAAACGGACCTCTGAGACTATCACAGTGCAGGTGCATTTATACGGAGACTTGATTACACACAGGTGGATTCTATTTATCATCATTAGTCATTTAGGTCAACATTGGATCATTCAGAGATCCTCACTGAACTTCTGGAGAGAGTTTGCTGCACTGAAAGTAAAGGGGCTGAATAATTTTGCACGCCCAATTTTTCAGTTTTTTATTTGTTAAAAAAGTTTGAAATATCCAATAAATTTCGTTCCACTTCATGATTGTGTCCCACTTGTTGTTGATTCTTCACAAAAAAAATACAGTTTTATATCTTTATGTTTGAAGCCTGAAATGTGGCAAAAGGTCGCAAAGTTCAAGGGGGCCGAATACTTTCGCAAGGCACTGTATGTTTTGATGCAAATACATTTGTACTTTTACTTAAGTAACATGTTGAATGCAGGGCTTTTGCTTGTAACAGTATTTTTACACAGTTGTAGGTAATGTAAAGGATCAGAGTACTTCTTCCACCACTGGTTCTAAATGTACCTTAAAGGGACCCCAAGGTAACTGTGATTACTGAGAGAAGTCCAGTATTCTCTGGGAAGCCAACCATGTCTGTCCCAACGCCTCCTCCACTTTAGCTTCACACAAGTTGTGTATCTTGGTTACAGTGGCAGCTCTCAAAGGCAATTCATATGATGCAGAATAATTTCAAGCAGGTTAGTATTGTGCTGTGCTCAGTCTGTGATGATTGTTTTATTATTTTACAGCTTACACCTGCATATCATAAAGTTTTCTTTCTCTTGGGAATAGTACAATGCTCCCCAGGCTAGGTTTGACCGAAAGTTAGTGGTTATCATTTTTGATAAATACGTGACTTTGGTGTATTACCTAATCCCACATGGGGTCCATTGTATTTATCAAGGAGACCAAGCTACAGCTAACATGTATGGAAGAGGATGTAGCTGGAGTGCAGTAGCATTGTTTAGAGCACTGCAGCCCTCATCTGAAGCCTGTGGTATGCTGACCCAGAGGAGCTGCTGTTAGCAGACAACAAGACAAGAAGAGTTTCCCTCACCAGCATACAATCTGCAGACCACCAAGATGAGTTCGACTGTCCTGGGACAGTCTGACCGCTGCGCCAGCCAGTCCGCAGGAGGTGGAGGATTGGAGTAAAGCTGACATCCAACCTGACTTTGCCCTCAGCTTTGCGCTCGGCTCTGCTGCTGCTGCTGCTGCTGCTGCTGAGGTAGAGTGCATGGACGAAGTGGAGGGATTATTAAGACCTGATATGTTTCAGATTATTAAACTGACTTTGGTGAAGATACTTAAATTGATGATCACTGCTCATGTACAAGCATTGTGCAGCGGGTGTGCTACTGGTGCTGAACCATCTAAATACACCTCTCCAGATCTTCTCCCCAAATGGTATTTTGACATCTATTTCACCGCCACTGTACAAAGACTGTGGGTCCTGGAGTTTATTCTGACTTTTATGGAAATCCTGAGATTGGAAGGTTTTGAACCACACGCCCAAAAAATGGGCAGCAGTGTCAGCGCCGTTGGTAAATCTGTGTGTGTGTGTGTGTGTGTGTGTACATGTTTGAGCAAAAGGTTAACAGTGCTTTGAATAATGCTGTCAGATCTCAAATGTCAGGAAAGCATCACCGTTTGAATGAGGCTCTGGTCCTCGTGAGAAATACCATGCCTGAAACTTCTGTAGCAGAAAGGTACCTTGTGATATCAGCACATATTAATGACCCTGACTTCCTGTTTTAACTGTGATGATTGATGTGATTGTTTCTAAACTTGCTTGTGGTGAAAATGTAAACTTGCATTCAGTCTGGTGCAGATTGTTCAGATTTCTCACAGAGCATAATTACATCGGTCTGTTGATGCATCTATTGTCTCTACATCCAATTTGTGTTACGATAACTTCATCTGCTGGTGGTGTTAAAACAATGTAAACCTAGTTCTGAAGTTCCGCCATCTGGTGGCATGAAATAAAATCACTTTAAATCAAAAAGTATGTCTGTCTTTGGGGAAATAAAATGTTTGGTTTAGGGAAAATCAGTATAGTCTCTGAGGTTAAATAAGTGCTTCATGACGTTTATTATGAAATGGATCATCCGGGTTTATTGGGTGGTGTTGACCGATTAAACATGCTGCTGAAGATTAGATGGGTACTAAATTAAAAATAGAAGATGTAAAGGAGTGGCGGTCTGAACAAGACACATTCACATTACACAAGTCAGCACGGTATCATATTACAACCCCAGCTCAGAAAAAGTTGGGATGGTATATAAAATCAAAATTAAAACTGAAAACAGTGATTTGTAATTCATCTGTGTCCTCCATTACATTGAAAACAATAGAGCAGCACAGTAGTTGATGTGATACCTCATCCATTTTATTCTTTGCTCAAAATAAACACTCACTTCATTTCTGATGCCTGCATCACATTCCAAAATGAGTTGGGATGGTTGCATTTCAGGGCTAGTAATGAGGTTAGGCATCTGAGATGGACCATCACACAGTGGAAATGTGCACTGTGGTCAGACCAATCAGTATTTCAGGTCTTTTTTGGAAGGAATGGACGCCGTGTGCTCTGGACCAAAGACAAAAAGGATCATCCAGACTGTTACCAGCAACAAGTCCAAAAGCCAGGGTCTGTCATGGTCTGGGTTTGTGTCAGTGCCCTTGGCAAAGGTGACTAACACTTCTTTGATGGCTCCATTAATGCTGAACAATACATACAGCAGAGCAACATATGCTGCCTTCAAGACAATATCTTTTCCAGGGACGCCCATGCATATTTCAACAAGACAATGCAAAACCTCATACTGCCACATTACCAAGGCCTGGCTGTGAAGGAAAAGGCTGTGAGTGATGGACTGGCCTACCTGCAGTCCCGACCTGTCCCCAGTAGAGATTGTGTGGTACATTTTGAAACAGAATTGTGTCAACGAAGACCCAGGACTGTTGCACCTTAAGACTTGTTTGCAGGAAGAATGGGACAAAATGACACCTGACACACTGAATCTCTTGGTGTCCTCAGTACCTAAATGTCTTTTAAGTGTTGTGAAAAGGAATGGAAACATCACACCGTGGTAAATACTTTACTGTCCCAACTTATTTTGGAATATGGTGCAGCATCAGGGTTGAAGTGAGTGTTTATTTTGAGCAAAGAATAAAATGGATGAGGTATCACATCAAATAATGTGCTGCTGTATTGTTTTCAATGTAATATAGGGGACAGATGATTTACAAATCACTATTTTCAGTTTCAATTTTGATTTTACAAACCATCCAAACTTTTTCTGATTTGGGGTTGTATCTAGCTAGCTATCTATATGGTTTGAGTCAGTAATGGAAGGTTGGGATTGACAATGCAGTATGTCCTTGGTCACCTCTAGTCTGAGTTCTAAATAAGAATTAATTACCAGAAAACAAATTTCATGATCCTTTACCTAGCTTTGATATTAAATTTGGGCACATCTAAAATATAAGAAATGTGTGGAATCCTCATCCCCCACCCCAAAGGAATAAAGAAAACAGGAAATGTTTTAACTAGGGATGTAGGGATGTAGGGATGTCCCAATCCAGTTTTTTTTTTTTTTGGCCCCAATACCAAGCCACTGCCTTCAGTATTAAGTATCTGCTGAGACCGATTCCAATCCGATACTTATTATAACCTATTAATTATAGGGAATTATAGACTATACTTGCATGTATATGTACAGTATATCCAACCCATGGTCAAAGCAAATAAAATACACACACTTTAAAAAGAACTGCAATGTTCAGTAGGGTTGATGTAACATGATAGATCATGCATTTTAGCTGTTTTGGCTTGACATATTTCTCTATTTTGGTGGAGTTCTGGTTGGAACGAGTGGGCGTTCATTGTTTTGGTGGGTACTGTGTATTTTATGCGCGTAGCTCTGAAAAAATAGACTTGAAACTAAAAATAGGTTTAAGGTTGTGTGAGTGATATGCCAGCCTACATGTGGGCACTGTAGACAGCTGGACTGATTAATATAGCAGCTTATCTGTTGCATGACGCACATCTTAAAAACATGACTGAGCCCGCTCAAATATAGGACTGTAGTTCTAAGTAAGGAGTGGAATTGGATTGGCTTTATTCTGGCCGATACACGATTCGGTGAAATATCCCCAGATCAGTACTGATATGTAGTATCAGTGGGGACATCTCTAGTCTTAAATGTTGTCTGGTACTCATACCTGACCTGATTCTTGTTTCAGTGTTCTGTTAACCTTCCTCCTTGTCTTACATCTCCCATTTCTGTGTGTGTCTGTCTGTCAATCTGTTTCTGTGCAGTCCACCTGAAGCGTCACTTTATGTTTAGGAACCATCTTTGTTTGGTGTTTGAGTTGTTGAGCTACAACCTGTATGATCTCCTGAGGAACACCAACTTCAGAGGAGTCTCCCTCAACCTCACCAGGAAATTTGCACAGCAGCTTTGTACAGGTGGGTGGATGGAAACACTGTTATGTCACGTGTAATTTCTAGCTTGTTATGGAGTTCTGGCCTGAAATAGTCAAAAAAGAATGACTGCTGTTTTAGTACATTATCAAATCAGGAAGGATAAACGTTGCAGGTCAAATGCAATTCAGTAAGACAATGGACAACATTTAATAATTAGGAAAAGGCATATCAGGATGATGGTGGAAACTGTTAACCCATTACGTATTTCAGCATACTTTAGGGTAAAAACATCCTTCAACCATTAAACAGGTGTAGTGGATCTGTCTCAAGTTAATCTAGTCAATAACACAATTACCTTGAAGCACCAGGTCTCTTTATGGCAGACTGACCAGAATGTAATGTAATTTTTATGAGTAATTATGTATTCATTATGTAGCAATCAAATTATTAATCAAATTAATAATTTGAGCCTGAAGGAGGAGTTCTTGTCAAAACTAGGACTTCGTTCGCATTTAGTCTAAATACACAGTAAATAAAATGGCTGCTGATGAAGTTCAAATATTCAAGTAATGATATACAGAGCAAAGAATGAAAATGGTTGAATGAATACTGAACAGTTTTAATTGATTTGACTTGATAAGTTTACCATAATAATCTTAATTATGGTGAGGTGAAATTATAAATTGACTTTTTTTAAAATTATTAACTACATTGTGGAAAATTGGATGATAGAATTCTGTATGAGCATTGAGCATGTATTAAGCAACACAAGCCTGATTTCAGAAGAAAGGTTATATTTTGTCTGTCTGGAGTGAGTTGGATCTGGAGAGGATGGAGCGGCACTCTAGGGGTCAGTTTCGGCTCATTCGTCATTGCCAACTGGTGATGCAGGGCCCGTTGATGAGAGTTCTGTGATTTGTTCAGCAACTTAGTGGAGGTCTGCTGTGCAGGCAACAGGTGATGGCTGGGTCTCGGGAGGCTGATTCAGCGGAGTGCAAATGGAGAGATGTGGAATCAAATCAGAAATTGGACACAAAATTACTTAAAACTAAGTTAATTACAAAATTTGAACGAAAAGTAAAAAACTGTAAATTTGATCTCATGGTTTGACTTGTGAGGAAGAAAAGTTAAAAGGAAATTTAAATAAAAGAAAGTTAAAGTTGAAAAAACAGTCTCCTGTGTAAAATAATGAAATGAGGAAAGTGGATGAGAGGACAGTGCCCTAAGTTTGACAGACAAAGAGAAGGTGCAAAAAAAATTCTTTTAGATAACATGAGAATTTAAGTTCTGTCTTCTGAACTGTGTGCTTCTGCTCGAACAAAAGATTGTCAGACAAATCCCAAGGAAACTGTATGATTTAAAGTATGATAGTTAGAAATGATTAAAGTATTCAATCTAGTAAAGTTACCCAAAAAAAAAAGAAAATGAGGAATATTTGGTTACATTCAAAGGTTGCGCATCAACACATCTAGGTGAATGAAATTGAAATTGAAATATGTTTAAATGAATGAGATCAAAATATAGCTAACTTAAGTCTAATCTAACTAATTCTTAAGTGTAGTGAATTTGGACTACAATTTATGAATGATCAATATTAATACCTTGTAATAATTATTTAAATATAAGAGGGCACCAAGCTTTTTTTTTTTGTGAGCAGTGCAGTAAACAACAAACAATAAAAATTAATTAGGTCTTGATCTGAAAGCAGTGGGTCCTTAGGACATTGACCTATTTACTGAGATAAAAGATACAAAGAAGATGGCATGAGAAAAAAAGTTATCTAGTCTAAATAGATTTATTTACATATGCACAAGAGGGAAAGGGGAATTGGGATTATAAAATGAATGAGATAGTACATGGTGAACACAGGGATGATTAAAATAGATGAGCGATGGTGAAAAATGAGCTAAAATTGTTTAAAATCTTGATTTTCATTCTAAATTCATGTGGCTGGCCAGAGAAGCAGTCTTTGTTCAGAAGCCAGACTAGAGGTCTGTGGTGGTCCAAAGTTCCAGAACACTGTTTGGGGCTGTGAGCTCAGAAGGTGGCTCATTCTGCAGCTGTGGTTTTCAGCTGCTGGTTGAGCCAAAGCTCAATCTTACAGGTGGTGGTTGACAAAAATCACATCTAATTTGATCTGATCACCATAGGATCATTCTGGTTGCAAACAGTTTGGCTGAAATAAAACTTAGTGTACAGAAGACTGTTTACAAATGTTCAAAGTCTACAGACTTTGTTGAAAGAATGTTGAAATCTTGGCACGCATAAGACTAAGCATAAGATTATGACAAAAATTAATTTAGCACAAATACACAAAAAACAAGGATGAGAGTAACAGACAAACAAACATTTTGGAATCTGACTTCTTTCTGGACAAAGGGAGGTTGGGTTTACGAGTTTATTCGCCAGTTTGAGTGCTTTGTCTGATTGGCTGGCCAAGGGAAGGTCTGGCATTAGCTGATTGGATCGGATCTATTGTCATGGAGATGGATTCCTGATCGGTGGGTGAACTGGATTTCAGCTGTTTCAGCAATAAATGTCAAGCAATGCCAGGGCAATGTTTTCACCTGGTTCCCTTATTGCTGTCCCATTTTCTCCCCCCTTTCTCTTTCATCTAACGCAGCTCTACTGAAGTCAGTCAGTGTTTGTGTTCAATTTTGTTTCCTCCTTTCATCCTTCTTTCCCCCTTCCTCCTTTCTTTAATCCTCCCTTTTTTCCTTTCTTCTTTCCATCTTTCTTCCCTTTAATCATTCATCCTTCCCTTGCTTCCTTTAATCATTCTTTCCTTCTTTTGTCCTATCCTGATTTCTTTTCATGCTTTTTGCGTCTTTTCCCCTTCTTTCATTGCCTACTTAATATTTTGAATCCCCGGCCCCTTTCTTACATTTGTAGTTATTCACATTCTTTGCCCCTTTGTAGCTAGTTAATACAACATTGCCATTTAACAGCCATTTTCACCTTGAGCAGCAGCTATGAGTAAGTTATTTCAGCAGCCAAGCAATACGGTTTGGCACAAGCTTTTTTCAGCAGGCAGCAATCCCAATGCAATTTCTTCAGAAACTGCATTATCTAGTCATTATTATTATTGAAAATCCAGGAAAAAATCTGACTGAAATGTCACTAACTAAATCTAGACAAAAATGTGTTTTTGTTGACAAAAATAAGCACAATCAAATGACTGCATTTTGACTAAAACTAATATACATTTTTATCAAGACAAAGACAACAACTTTGTCAAAATCGGGTGCTAAAATGAACATTGACATCAAATTTAACCAGTGTAGAAGGTGGTCCAGATGAGAAAAACAAGAGTCATGTCTTTTTTTATCCACAGCATTACTATTCCTAGCAACACCAGAACTGTCAATCATCCACTGCGATCTGAAACCAGAGAACATCCTGCTGTGTAATCCCAAGAGATCTGCCATCAAGATAGTCGACTTTGGATCCTCCTGCCAGCTTGGACAGAGGGTGAGCAGAATGCTCAAACATTTCAACAAGAACACACATAAACCTGTCAAAGTACATTTTTTGTTTACTTCATATAAAATACATTAAAATAGCTTCTTGCACAATGTTTGCTGAGAGATTCTCCCTCCCCAGTGACCCTCACTGAAACTCGAAACTACATGATTGAGTGATGAATAAATATATCATAGGCTACACATGCCAATTAACACTGAAACTATTATTGGTGCAATTTGTTTTAACCCAATCTTTACCAAGATACCAGATACCAAGATGTATGATCAGATTGTTGTTATCCTGCTTCTGTCAAATTTTGGCCATATTACTTTTCTTCAATCTCTATCTGCTTCTAGATGCTTTGGACTAGAAACTTCATTCGATCTTTAAAACATACATCTTCTTTGTTAGATTTATGTAATGACTTTTCTTTTTGTTAACTTTTATACTTTTCATTTTATTCAACTTTATGTCATCTTTCAGCTTCTCCAGTTGTCACAGAATCTTCAGAGCCTGAAGTGTAGGCTCTGTCCTTCAACTTGTTTCCTTCTTTTTTTCTGTCAACATTTAACTTTCATAAACAATTTATACTTTTTGACTGAGATGGCCAAAACCACAGAGTGCTATTTATGTCTCTCACTCAGTGCTATTGTAAGAAGCAACCAGAAGTTCCCCTCCCACTCACAGATGACAGTTGGTTGTAACTCATGATAAATCTTCACATATGGGGTATCGGCATGTTTACTGAAGCCGTCCAGTGCCCGTAGTGCAGAGCTTTGTTGATGAAGACTGGCTGGACAGTTGCTTTGGGATGAGATAGTTAATGATACACCTGCTGTTTGCTGATTTGGCCTCTACACTCTCCCTCTGTGTTTACTGACATGAAGTCAGTCAGTATGTGTTCACTGAGGCTCTTTAATCCATGATATGCCCCCACCTGTCACTACTGCAGTATCCCTGTCAGTACTAGCCTATTCTCACTACCAGTATTTCTGACAGTACTACTTTCTAATACCACTAATGCTGCTAACATTAACAATAGATAGATTAACCTTCTCGGTAGAACGCCTTTATTTCTCCTTCCTTTCATCCTTCTTTCCTTTCTGCTCATCCTTATTTCCTTCCATACTTCCTGCCTTCCTTCCTTTCATCATTATTTCCTTTATTTCTCCAATTCCTTATTCTTCCTTTGTTTCTTTTCTTTTCTTTCCTCTGCCCTCCACCTCTTCTCACACTTTTCCTTTCTTTCATTCTTCTTTATTTCATTCTTTTCTTTTATATTCCTTTCTCCTTTCTTTTCTTCCACCCTTCCCTGCTGCTTTGATTCCTTTCTTTCAACTTTCCTTTCATTGCTGTTTTCCTTACTTTCCTCATTCCTTGTTTTCTTTCCTTTAACTTTTCTTAGTTTTTCTGCTTTTGACTTCTTTCCTTTTGTAATTGTGCCAACTTTCTTTATTGGTTCCACTCTTATATCTTTAAATGCACTAACATTTCAACATTCAGCAATTTCTTAGCGATCAGCATCTTTTTGGCAGTATATTAGTTCTCCCAACATAACTACTTTAGAAATGACCTTTTTTAGTTTCTTTTTATTTTAAATGTTATCAAACATTCTGAATTTACACCTTTTTTAGCCTTTGTTATCTCCTATGTGAAATAGGTCAGTTCAGCTCTGGGAAAACATATTTAATCATTTAAACTTGTGTATGAGGGGTTGATTTCCTTAACGGTGGGAGAACATGACTCCTCACAGTGGGACAGCAAGCAGCACTGACAGAAGTCACTTGTCTTTTGAATTCATCTTAATTCAACTTTAGATGGACTGGGGTAACATGAGACAACAGTTCCTATACAGCATAGCTGAGTAAGTTGGGCAGGAATAGATATAAAGAAAATCTTCACTGAAAGTAATTAAACTCTTCTTTAGAGCGGCAACAATTAGCTAATAAATTAATTGATCAACAGAAAAATGAATCAGCTGTTTTGGTAAATTAATCATATTGGCATCTTTTTAAGGAAAAATGTTAAAATGCCAATTATTTCCTAATTCCACCTTCTCAAACATGAGGATTTTCTTATATCTTTGGGTTTTAAACTGTTGGTCAGACAGAACAAGATATCTGAAGATGTAACCTTTCACTGTGGGACATTATAACAGGCCTTTTCACTATTTGACTATATTTTATGGACAAAACAATTGATTAATAGAGAAAATACAAACATAAACAACAGTAACATCAAAACACATGACAGTCATAATCTCTGTAAATAAAAAGAATGTACAGGTTCCCCAAGTGTATTGTATGTTTTTAAAAATTGAGAAAACAATTGTCAGATAGTGTTTACAAAAATTATCAGTAGTTGTATGCTTACTTTTCTTCTTGAATCTTTTCACTTATTTATCATCCTCATCTCAGATCTATCAGTACATCCAGAGCAGGTTTTACCGCTCTCCCGAGGTTCTGTTGGGAATGCCGTATGACCTGGCTATTGACATGTGGTCTCTGGGATGCATCCTGGTGGAAATGCACACAGGAGAGCCACTCTTCAGTGGCTCCAATGAGGTAAAAACAACACTACCATAAATATATCAGTAGGGTAGTCCTATTCAGTAATATTGACAATAGCAATTGATTCAATGCTTGTATTCAGACTGTAGTTTGCTGTCTAGCACAGTGATTCCCAAACTATGGTACTCGTACCACCGGTGGTACGTCAGGCTCCACCTGGTGGTTACGTTACGTTAGCTTGACTCAATTCATTCCTTCAGATGGGGGTATGTGTGTAGGGTGCTGCACTGTCCATATTACTGAAATGGAGCAGAAGGTATTGGCATAGAGGTAGAAAATGTCACTTATTTTAGGAAAACAACAGGGACAATCAATGAGAGGAAGAGAGAGAGAGAGAGAGAGATGCACATAGCAATTTTGAGTGATTTGTGTTCATGCTCTCATTAATAAATGCATTTTTTGATTTAAAAAGTAAACATATATTGTTGTTAATGGTCCTTTCTAAGGCTACTACATGAATGAAATAGAGAATAAAACATTTCTGAAGAAGTTTTAGGTGTGGAAAAACCAATGCTGCTGCCTCCCCTGGTGCTACCTGGCTGCAAGCTATTTATGCAGAGGTGTTGGTCAGACTTGCAAAACATAGCAGAACAATGTTTGTCCATATGTGGTGAAATAAGACCCAATAACAACATGTTGAAATGACATGGAGAATGATCTGTGATTTGGATGAATCAGGACATGATGCAGTAGTTATACATCAAAGTCCTAGAGCAGAGGAAATGACAGCGAAAAACAAGGACAGACAGAGATAGACAGATGGAGGAATGAAAATGTGTCTGTGTGACAGACACAAGGAAAGAAAACAGAGCAATTGATTTTTCTCCAAATATAGAAGCCATCAACCTGAGATTCTTTCACCCTTTGAACCAGAAGGACCTGCAGAATATGGGAATATATCAGTTGTACATGTGTGACAAAAACATTACCCTGTCAGAACAGCATGAAATGACATGAGAGGAGGAATCTCTGTAAGAGGTAAACAAGTGGCTTAATACTAAAGCACATCAAATTAATAAACAATAAAAGACATTAAAATGATTTTTGAGCATTTATATGTCCAGGACTCATGTGTAAGAGGGAATGATTGTTGTAAGTGACATAATGGCAATGTAACTGACAGTCAAAGTGGAGGAGCATGAACAGAAAATATTCAAAAACACAGCATCACATTTAATTAGCTGTCATTCAACAACGACACATCAAATCAAAAAGCAGTTTTAGATCAAAGTAGGGCAGATTCTGTATGCAGACCCATCATCGTCTCAGATGAGACTGATGACCATTGTGTCGTCTGTGAACTTCAGGAGTTTAACAGTGGGGTTCCCTGAGGTCCAGCCATTGGTGTAGAGGGAGAAGAGCAGCAGGGAGAGCACACATCCCTGGGGTGGCGTCTGTGCTGGTTGTGCGGGTGCTGGATGTGGTGTGGGGCAGACAGGCAGCACAGCAGTAAAACTAATTTATCAATTTTATTTTTTGAAAAAAGGTCACTTGCGCCAGGCCTGAGTAGCAGCAGCAGCAGCTGTAGTAGTCAGGGATGGACTTCCATAGGAGAGGTGGTTCTGTCTTGGAACTAAAAGCGGTACTTATGAAATTTGGTTTTGTCCATGATCTGAAAAGTTTGGGAACCTCTGGTCTAGCAGAATAAGCAAAACAATATGTTTTCTTTGTTAACATTCCTTCCCTCTTGCCTCTGCTTATTCCCCAGAGGACACAGGTTCAGGCAAGGCATGGTTAAATAGTGAGAGGATTTGTACATGTGTATAAACACACATGGAGATTGTGTGTGTGTCCTGCAGGGCTTTCTAATCTGTATTTTATATGTGATTGCAGTAACTTGTGTGTGGTATGTTGCCACCTTAATCCATAATAATAGTCCACAACACTAATTATGAGTGTGTGTATGTGTGTGCAGGTTGATCAGATGAATAAGATTGTGGAGGTTCTGGGGGTCCCACCCAGTCACATGCTAGATGCAGCTCCTAAAGCCAGAAAGTATTTTGACAAGCTTTCAGATGGTCTGTGGACAGTGAAGAAGAACAAGGACATCAAGAAGGTATTTTATTTTAATACAATTTACATTTTTCATTAAAAGGTCAGCTTTCACTTTTAGTCCTCTAACTCATGGGGAGACATGAAATATCCAGTATGATTTTTCTAGATCTTGCAGTAAAACATATGTATAAAAAATATACAGCCTTAATTTGTGTTAGAAAGAGTCAGTGGCTGCTTGCAAACAATGGAAATTACTGGGAACTCCAGCTGAAGCGCTTGCTCTACTGATATCTAAGATAACTACTATTTCAAGTAGGGATTCACCATCACTGAGATCAGTGATGAGTCAGATACTATCCTTTTCTGCTTGACTCATACTCATAAAATGCACCAATACCGCCTAATAGTGGTGGAAGTAGTAGTCAGATTGTTTACTTGAGTAAAAGTAGAAATGACACAGAGCAGAAATATTCTGTTACAAGTAGAAGTCCTGCATTCAAAATGTGCAAAAGTATTAGAATCAAAATATATTTAAAGCACCAAAAGTAATAGTATTCACTATGCAGAATTGAGAATCTTCCACTAGGGATTAATGAAGTCTTATGATTAGACTGCATTTTGTTTTCTTAATCTAATTGTGAAAAGTCACTAAAGTTACCAGATAAATGTAGTGCAGTAAAAAGTACAATATTTGCTTCTAAAATGTAGTAAACTCAAAGTATGAAGTAGCAGAAAATTAAAATATTCAAAATTGTATTTAAGTAGCTTGACCAAATGTACTTTGTTACTTTCCACTTCTGCCACTTAATGGCAACATTACATCAGCCTCACACAGGTTGAGGAGGTTGTTAGGTGGAGGTTGAGGAGGTTGTTAGGTGGAGGATGAGGATATTCAGCGGTTTGGAGATAAGTGAGATAAGTGACAAAGACAAAGTTAAAGCCTAATGCAGCTATTCTCTGTGCCCGTCAAGGGTGATAGGAAGGGAGTGGCACTCACAGACACACACAACAGAGCAGAGATGAGGTTGTATACTTGTGATGACAGTGTTCAATATGTGCAGCAAAATCCACCACTAATGGAGATAATGCAGTCGATTTGCCACACACCGTGGTCAATGCTTTACTGTCCCAACTTTTTTTGGAATGTGTTGCAGGCATCAGGATTGAAGTGTTTGTTGTGAACAAACAATCAAATTGATGAGGTATCACATCAAATAGTGTGCTGTCATTTCTTATCAATGTAATACAGGACACAGATTATTTACTAATCAGTATTTTCAGTTTTAAATTTGATTGTACATAACGTACCAACTTTTCGTGATTTGCGGTTGTAATTTAACGCCTGTTGTACAAGCAGAACAAACTTGCAGAAATCGGCAGACATCTTCACTCTGCTCACAGTCAGCTCATCTGGTCCCCTGTTCACCTACTAAACTGCTGCAGTCAGGTGAGATGCTGATTGCAAAAAAAAAAAAGGGTCAAGCCAGCTACTGTTTCACTTTTGTTGCACTTTGCATACAATTATGTTACAGGTACTTGGAGCAGCCAAACTGGATGTTTAAAGACTCTGGCTGAGGATTTATTAAACGAAGTGACTCTATAGATTTCTGTATTATGGAACAACATGGTTATTACCATATATAGAAAATCAATTTGTTACTGACTTACTGAATTCAAATAGAGAGCTGTTCACCCATAGAATTCACCCATAAGTTTAATTTTACTACTAGAAAAATGGCAACAGTATTTCCTACTGCTCTCCTCTGATTGTTGCACAACAGTATGCAGTTTTCCCTGTGTACACCTATTGCGTCTTTAAAAGCTGGATAAAATATGAGACAACAAAACAGTCTGCTTGGTTGTCAAAGAAAGAACTACCCCACCCCACCATACATATCAGCTATATTCGCACTACTACTCATACTAGATTTCTTACTCAGTGTGGAAAAAAGTGGCATTAGTACATCCAGTACATACAATGGGGCAAATAAGTATTTGATACACTGCCGATTTTTCAGTTTTTCCCACTTACAGAGAATGAACAGATCTGTAATTTTCATCGTAGGTACACCTCAACTGTGAGAGACAGAATTTACAAACAATTCCAGAAAATCACATTGTTAGATTTTTAAATAATTTATTTCCATTTTATTTCATGAAATAAGTATTTGATACAATAGGAAAATAGAACTTAATATTTGGTAACGAAACCTTTGTTTACAATTACAAAGGTCTGATGTTTCCTGTAGTTCTTGACCAGGTTTGCACACACTGCAGCAGGGATTTTGGCCCACTCCTCCATACAGGTCTTCTCCAGATCTTTCAGGTTTTGGGGCTGTCGCTGGGCAACACAGAGTTTCAGCTCCCTCCATAGATTTTCTATTGGGTTCAGGTCTGGAGACTGGCTAGGCCACTCCAGGACCTTGAAATGCTTCTTACAAAGCCACTCCTTAGTTCCCCTGGCTGTGTGTTTGGGGTCATTGTCATGTTGGAAGACCCAGCCACGACCCATCTTCAATGCTCTTACTGAGAGAAGGAGGTTGTTGTCCAAAATCTCGCGATACATGGTACCATCCATCCTCTCCTCAATACAGTGCAGTCGTCCTGTCCCCTTTGCAGAAAAGCACCCCCAAAGCATGATGTTTCCACCCCCATGCTTCACAGTTGCGATGGTGTTCTTGGGATTGTACTCTTCCTTCTTCTTCCTCCAAACACGGCGAGTGGAGTTTATACCAAAAAGTTCTATTTTGGTCTCATCTGACCACATGACCTTCTCCCATGCCTCCTCTGGATCATCCAGATGATCTTTGGCAAACTTTAGGCGGGTCCTGGACATGTGCTGGATTGAGCAGAGGGACTTTGCGTGCTGCAGGATTTTAAGGCATGACGGTGTAGTGTGTTACTAATGGTAACCATTGAGACTGTGGTCCCAGCTTTCTTCGGGTCATTGACCAGGTCCTCCCGTGTAGTTCTAGGCTGATTCCTCACCTGTCTCAGGATCATTGATACTCCACGAGGCGAGATCATGCATGGAGCCCCAGTCCGAGGGAGATTTGACAGTCATCTTGAGTTTCTTCCATTTTCTCATAATCACGCCAACAGTTGTTGCCTTCTCACCAAGCTGTTTGCCTGGTGTCCTGTAGCCCATTCCAGCCTTGTGCAGGTCTACAATTTTGTCCCTAGTGTCCTTAGACAGCTCTTTGGTCTTGCCCATAGTGGAGAAGTTGGAGTCTGAATTTTGTCCCTAGTGTCCTTAGACAGCTCTTTGGGCTACAACCAAGATGGTGGATTATTAGTACGTGAGTTGTTGTGAATTATAATTCACTTCCATTATATTTGTTGTGGTCAATGTTTCTGTGTCCAGTACTTTAAAACCTCAGCAACATGTTAAAAACAACAACAAAGAAAAACCTATATGTAGTTTTAAGAACTAATATGTGTATGTGACAGAGCAGTAAGCTAGTCCCTTAGTGTGAGTTAAAGTGTTAGTGTGAGTCCTGAAATCATATTTTTGGTATCAAAATATTTGGATGTGTGTTTTTCAGGAGTATAAACCCCCAGCCACACGCCGTCTTCATGAGATTTTGGGTGTAGAGACTGGGGGCCCAGGGGGTAGGAGAGCAGGGGAGCCAGGACACGCCCCCTGCGACTACCTGAAATTTAAAGGTAAACCAACACATTGTATTGATTTGCAAAGCTAGTCACTGTATTGATTGATCAAAAATTGATATTTACCAGAGATAGAAATCAGTACAAATACAGCCAATATGGCAGTGTTAAACTAAAAAAATGTTAAAAATTAAAAATGAAACTTAAAAGTCTCCTGAGTATCTGGATATACAGTACCTCATGGACATTACAAACATTGAGAAGTGAACTCAGCGTCAGTAGTATGCATTACAGAAAATTTATCAGCCTCCATGTGTACCATTTGTAGTGGATACAAAAAGAAAATGTAAAAACTGTAAAATTCCCTTCAACCATTCCCTTCAGTTATTCATTTAAAATATTGTAAATCCACTAGGAAACGTTGTGGAGGACCAACGTGTACTGTAATGACTCACATGGTGAACTCATTATAAACTACATTTTTGTGAGCTCAATGGTCTTGTAAAAGAAAAAAGATGGACTGTTTGGAGAAGTATTGTCCAAAAAGTATTAAGTATTGTTCCACTGTGAGTTGCAGAATGAGTAGCTCTACAAGATGGTGTTTACACAGAAGTATACATCTTCTTAAGAAGCAGAATATTTCAAAGTTTTAAAGAAGTTCAAGATATGTGTTGAAAAGTACCAGATTAAGTCTAAGCTAAAATTGGTCAAACACATTATTATTTTGCATCTTTGCAAGCAATGTTCACATAACATACAGTAACTTGGAAGTTGCAATAAATAGTACCAGATGCTTGAGGTGAGGCAGAACTGCAAAAAACTGAACAAAACAAAAAGAACAAGAAATCAAAATTCATAGGGGTATAGGTTCATACCCCTGGACTCAGCCACCAGCAGTGTGGCATCTACAAATATTATCATCATCATCATAGTCACATTTGTTTTCTTCCAGACTTGATCCTGCGCATGCTGGACTATGACCCTAAAAGTCGTATCACGCCATTTTACGCCCTGCAGCACAATTTTTTCAAGAAGACAACAGATGAAGGAACCAACACCAGTTCATCTACATCCACCTCTCCTGCCATGGACCACTCCCATTCAACCTCCACTACTAGCTCTGTTTCTAGCTCTGGTAATGTACACACATCTGCTTCCACACATTCTGGGCTCCATTTTCCTGCCACCACAATTCCTGTGAAGCTTCAAACACAGTGGTTGTACTGTTTTCTTTGGGTGCATTTTTATTCATTAATTAATTAA